GCTTCAGTTAGCAGTAGTAGCAAAGGAATCGCTCGATCGAGTTCAGTTAACAGCCATCGATCGATCGCTCGGGGTCAGTAACACGTAGCCTGCAGTGCAATAGCTCAGGTTCAGTTAGAGCCCAACGCCTCGCTCGGGTTCAGTTAGAGCCAACGCCTCGCACACACGCGCGTACGTGTACGAGAGAAACGCGCATCGCTCGGCCCCCGACCTCCCACCGTAACCGGGAACTCCCCGAAATTTTCCTCCCCCTCGCTTCTACCATGGTTTTTTCCATCATGGGCGGCCCAAAGAATGTCATGCAACTGCGTCTCCGGCCCGCCCAGGACAAAAAGGCCATTTTCTGTCATGATTTTTTGTCGTAGAAGTAGGAGCCCACCACATCTATGATGATACCGGGTTTTGTCACAATTATCGTCATAGAAGTGTCATATGTATGACAGAAAAAAAATTCGTTCAGCCCAAAATGTCACGGATGTGTCTTTTTTTGTAGTGCTCATGTCAACGATCCGCCTGTACATGACGTGAGCTTTGTCGAGTTTCTCCATCCAGGCCCAGTGCTAGGAACGCTTGTCCTTGTTGCAGGAATCCTTCTTGTCTCTATAGTAGGGGTCGATGATGGCCTCGGCGACGTGAACCAGTGAGTCGTTCTCATGCTCCTTGTTGCCCCAGATATTGTATTGGCCCTGGATATCGACAAGATTCTGGCAGGCGATGCCCGAATTCTTGAGCACCTTGACATCATTGATGATGTCCACCATAGCGAACATGTAGTGGGGGTTGTTGACAAACCTGGAGAGACGCTCGCAAGGCCTTGTGGCCAGGCAGTAGTGGTAGACGAGGCCGTGGTTACGCATGCACATATGGGCGCCGACGACCTTGGGACAAGACCCGACATGAGCGCGGGTGAACTCGAGGTCGAACTCAACCACCTTGTACTTCTCCTCAGCAAGCAATAGCTCCATGTTGTGGATGGAGTGCTCCACCTAGACCGGGATGTTGGTGTACACCATCGCGAGCTCCGTGAACCTTCGGTGGGTGTCCACGATGGCATGCATGTTGAACTGCTGCTCATCGTCGGCAGCCGCTCGGAGCGCCATTGGAGCCGCGCACAAAACCATCTAACAACTTGTCGTGGTGGGTGTGCTTCTTGCAATGGTGGGGCACGATTGAAAGGTTGAAGAGACACAAGCCTTAAATGGCCGCTGTAACAAATGGGGGCCAGCTGGCCTGTAATCGTCACATCTTGTCACGACGTTCATAGCGGAAGATTCCAGTGGATGCTTGACAACACCGCACCGCACGCGTTTCATTTATCCACACGTGGGCTCGCAGAGGCGCCAAATGTATCGTCGGTGAGCCTGTTCCCTCGCTACCGCGCAGTTTACTGTGCAAACTTCCTGCCCGACAAGTTTGGCCACGCGTTGGCTAGAAGTGGGACAAATCTCGTGGACGTTTATTGGCAAAAAGCTTTGTAAAAACGAAGTGTGGGGAATGACTTCGGTCATAAGTTTAACCATGGGTGATGAGGTCAAAGTTACACAGAAGGGTGATGATGGACACTTGAGTGCGATAATTAATTTTGCGATCTAGAGGGCAGACGGTGGAAGAAACCAGCTATGCACAATAATGTCGAAGATCGCAGTCGAGTTAGCTATACAGATCGTGTGTTGTGAGATCGACAAGGTGAACAGATTCGAGAATGGTTAATAAAATCTAAAACCATTGCATATTAAGGTCAAAATAGTGCTACCAATATACGAGTCTCTGATACGTCTCCAATGTATCTATAATTTTTTATTGTTCCATGTTGTTATAATATCAATCTTGGATGTTTTATAATCATTTTATAGTCATTTTATATCATTTTTGATACTAACCTATTGACATAGTGCCAACTGCCAGTTACTATTTTTTCCATGTTTTTACATTGATAACCCACAAGTATAGGGGATCACAACAGTTTTAGAGGGTAGAGTATTCAACCCAAATTTATAGATTCGACACAAGGGGAGCCAAAGAATATTCTCAAGTATTAGCAACTAAGTTTTCAATTCAACCACACCTGGAAACTTAATATCTGCAGCAAAGTGTTTAGTAGCAAAGTAATATAATAATAGTGGTAACGGTAGCAAAAGTAACGGTAGCCGTTTTGGTTTTATAGTGATTGTAACGGTAGCAACGGAAAAGCAAATAAGCAAAGAACAATATATGAAAAGCTTGTAGGCATTGGATCGGTGATGGAGAATTATGTCGGATGTGATCAATCATGCAACAGTTATAACATAGGTTGACACAGAACTATTTCCAGTTCATCAATGTAATGTAGGCATGTATTCCGAATATAGTGATACGTGCTTATGGAAAAGAACTTGCATGACATATTTTGTCCTACCCTCCCGTGGCTGCGGGGTCCTATTGGAAACTAAGGGATATTAAGGCCTCCTTTTAATAGAGTACCGGACCAAAGCATTAACACATAGTGAATACATGAACTCCTCAAACTACGGTCATCACCGGTAAGTATCCTGATTATTGTCACTTCGGGGTTAATGGATCATAACACATAATAGGTGACTATAGACTTGCATGATAGGATCAAGAACTCACACATATTCATGAAAACATAATAGGTTCAGATCTGAAATCATGGCACTCGGGCCCTAGTGACAAGCATTAAGCATAGCAAAGTCATAGCAACATCAATCTCAGAACATAGTGGATACTCGGGATCAACCCTAACAAAACTAACTCGATTACATGATAAATCTCATCCAACCCATCACCGTCCAGCAAGTCTACGATGGAATTACTCACGCACGGCGGTGAGCATCATGAAATTGGTGATGGAGGAAGGTTGATGATGACGATGGCAACGAATTCCCCTCTCTGGAGCCCTGAACGGACTCCAGATCAGCCCTCCTGAGAGAGTTTAGGGCTTGGCGGCGGCTCCGTATTTTAAAACGCGATGAATCCTTCTCTCTGATTTTTTTCTCTCCGAACATGAATGTATGGAGTTGGAGTTCAGGTCGGTGGAGCGTCATGGGGCCCACGAGGCAGGGGGCGCGCCCCCACCCTCGTGGACAGGGTGTGGGCCCCCTGATGTGGATTCTTCTTCTAGTATTTTTTACATATTCCAAAAATAATCTCCTTTGATTTTCAGATAATTCCAAGAACTTTTATTTCTGCACAAAAATAACACCATGGCAATTCTGCTGAAAACATCGTCAGTCCGGGTTAGTTCCATTCAAATCGTGCAAGTTAGAGTCCAAAACAAGGGCAAAAGTGTTCAGAAAAGTAGATACGACGGAGAAGTATCAACTCCCCCAAGCTTAAACCTTTGCTTGTCCTCAAGCAATTCAATTGATAAACTGAAAGTGATAAAGAAAAACTTTTACAAACTGTGTTTGCTCTTGTTATTGTAAATATGTAAAGCCAGCACTCGATTTTTTAGAAAAGACTAGTACAAATGCCCGTGCGTTGCATCAGGCGGAAAAAAGGGCACAACCTGCTTTCATTTGCCATTGTGCACCATTTCTTATATTCAATTTTAATAAACATCTATGATAAGGTTAAACATGGAATTTTTCTTATTTTTAATAAAATTTAACATTTGCATAAAAATGGAACACTTTTTTTAAGAATAGTTAAGGCTTTTATGAAATTGGAATATTTCTCTAAAAAGAACATTTTTGAATCAGATGCTTTTCGAAAAGAATGTTTTGTTGTACATTTTTAAGTGGAAATATTTTTTCTTAAAAATGGAATATTTCTTGGAAATTTTTAAGCTTTTTTAAAAAAGTGCAAACATATTTTGTTGAAAAATAGCATGAACATTTTTAAACTATATTTGTTGTGTTCAGTTTTTTTTACAGATAGTCTTTTTAGGGTATATTTTGGGGGTTTTTACAGATAGTTGGCTGTTTGGTTGGGAAGAGTTCCCCTATGACAAATTAAAATTAGCATATTTTCATCTTGTAAAATGAAGTTGCAAAGGTTCAAAGCATTTCTTGATTTTGTACCGCCTATCATTTGTAAAGATAGTAAGGTGTCCAACGTTGCGACGGGATAAGTACCGGTTGATGTCCAAAGGATTGAGAAAGGACATCAAAGATAACAAAAAAGTGAAGAATGGCAATGAACAATTTAAGAGCCGCAAGTATCTAGCAAGAACAGACAGGTGTACCAGTAGATCAACCAGCCGTTATTGCACAATCATACATGCAACTATAAGGTCTAGCATTGGGCTGGGCACAACACATCTCTGGAGCAAGGGTTGATCATGACCCTACAACAGAAGGGAAGGAATATGGTACAGCTAATAATCCAGCCATCAGGCGATGCATCCTCTTCTCCGAAGGCTCTCCACTGCATCCTTGATGATCTTTTCCAAAGGAGTGAAATGCAGGCCCAGTGCCATCAGCTTCTTCGGCACCGCCTCCACCCTCACCAGCCCAAGTTGCGTGTCCTCAGGTAATCTGCCGACCAAACCGATCAAACGCAAAGAGATTAGCACCATGACAACAGTCCATTCATGTCGTCGTTTGTTATGAAATTATTGTTCTTCAAACATGTGAAGTATGTGTTTAGTGTGTGTTGCTTACTTCGGGACTTCGTAGTCGGGGTAGAGCTCCGTGACTTGGGACGCGAGATCGCAAAGTGACATATGGGCTCCACACAGAGGTGCCTCCTGGATGCAGCCGGGTTTTCAAACAGCGTGATATGGGCTAACGCGACATCTTCCACGTGGACTAGCCCGATGAATAAATCCTTATACTCCTCTATGCAACCTGTGTGTGTAGTGAAAGATGGGTTGAGGAAATGTTTTCTTACCATAGTAACAAATCACACACTAAACCGGACAAGAAGTCTTCTGAATAGCAAATGCATCATTGCCAGGGTGACGAATGACAATGGATGATGATTTTTCAATCTATGGTTCTTATGCCAATGCATAGGCATTGTTTACATAAAGTATGGAGCAGAAAAGGGTTTCAGATATGACAAAAACATGCAGTTTTACTCTTTAGTATACTAACCACTGTAGGATATTCAGTACATCGGTATTAGCTTCATTTCAGCCAGTTCTCTCCTGATGAAACTAATTTGCAGAACTTGTTACTTTTCCTTGCTTTTAACAATTTATTGTTTCAGGTGTAGATTATATCCGAAGAACTCTTGGAGGAAGAAAAACATGTAATATAAAGTACGAAGTTCACTATATATACCGCATCGTTGTATCTGGAGTAGTGAATCCGAAAATTTTTGTTCTACTGAACCTATATAAATCTCAGATTCTCAATCCAAGAGCTTCTAACTCTTCTCCTCGACATCAGTAACGCCCATTTGTATCTCAATTATGGTATGGAGTGAAATCTAGGGTAAAATAGAAATGATTGAATAGGCTTAGCAATGCTTTTGCAAGTTTAAAACACAACTTTCAGTGATGGGAGAAGATCAAAATTTCATGTTACCTACATGTTCAGTAAAACATGAGTACATTGCTTGCAATATGGCCTATAAGTAGGATCAAGATTTCAAGATCGGCGTTTCTGCACAAGAGAGTTTCACCAACAGTAGTAAGTTAGCCTGTTGTATAACAACCACTGCTGCTCGCTGGAGTCCGACCGTAACGACGTATTCATATGTAAATATATATTCAATAAATATGTAAAGCCCAAATCTGTATTTTATCAATTTATTGAAGCTATAACTTTTATATTTTAGCATGACATGATTAATATAGAAAACTATGTAGGTTTGCAGCATGATAATTATCAAAATGACTTTGTATATAAACTACCAATAAGATATTCCAAGTTGTTCCGAAAATAACAGAGAAATGTTACTACATACCCATACTCCTCAGGCATATTTTTCTGTCGTTATTCATACGTCATTGCACCACACACACACCAGAATTGATTGCATCAAGTGTACTCCATTGCATCTGCCAACATTAATTGCGATACATGTCAGTGTACATAGATATCAAGAAAACTTACAAACTTTCATAGAAATAACTTCAGGAATCTTACAGTTGGAGTTGCTGTCAAAATTATTCTCCATAGATCACGTGCTAGTTTTTTCTTTCTTTTTTTTGCCTAAAGCTCTCCATCTTCACTGCATAATTGTTACGTAGGTTTAAGTGGACCTTGTTAGATCAATACAATAGGCTAATTCCCATAAGAGAAATGATTTTGCAGGATACTTCGACAAATAAGTTAATGAAGTTTTGCAACCTGGTAAGCAAAAGAGGTAGGCGCAAGATGAGAATTCACATGCAGTTGCAGAATATATATGATGTGTCACCAATTAAATTGCTCTCTTCAGATTTGTTAATCATAATGGCAATCTTGGGGGAAGAAGTAGAGGGCCCTGAAGCAGGAAGGACGACACGAAGGCAGACCATGTGTGCCGCAGCTTGCGGAACTGAAATTTAAACCAGCAGCAGTTCAGGTTACATGAGAAAACTGGAAATAGTTATTTACTAAGGTTTAGTCAATATAAGGAAAAGACGGGTAGAAAGCATACTGTAACCGATTCATGGTACATGTCTATGAGTCTTTCAACAATCTTATAGCCCTGATCCTTGTCCCTTTCTTTAGCTGCAGTATAACACCCTGACTTGAACTCTTTATTTGGTGTCAGGTAGCACTTTGATGCCGTGTTTATATGTTCCAAAACTATAGGTGGACTGGTGGAGTACTACTTCAGTGATGAGGATCTTCTGATGCATATCATGCCTTCGATTACCTCTCTTTGGACATCTTCCTTAACTTAGTAACTCAATTTTCTAGTGGGAAACTAATGGCGGAGATCCTATAGACCTCTGATGCAAATTACCTATCCACGACAGAGTCATAGAACAATCATGCTATTCTTTTTCTTTACTAATATTGCGGGTTGTACAGATCCGGCCAGACCTCACCGCCGACAGGGAGGCATTGAGGTGGGGGCCATGTTCGTCATGATACTCATTAGCATGGAAATGAGAGGGCCTTCCGGCTCAGCGGCTTCATCAACTAGCGCATGTGCCATTGCCATATACAACAATCATCTACACAGAATTTATGTTTAGTGCGTTCATGCCTTTTTAATTTGCCAGTGATCGATGTGTGGACTGCCGGAACATGCATTCTAATCAACAGGCGGTGGTGCATACACTACAACAAACGCAATCAATTCAAAGTCAGAAACAGAAAAGGGATAAGCAGCAGCTAGACCATTCACCAATTGTAGTAACTGCTTCATCTTACAGGCCACACAACTTCAAGAGCATAGCAAGCAAGCAAGCAGAAGCAAAAAAACTGAAGTAACAAAGATAAAAGTCAAACAGCACTCACCGACGGCAACTAGAGCTCTGCGCGGCCCCTGCCAGCGCCATCGCAGACCACCAGCTCGAGCGGCCCTACCATGTCACGGACCCTAACGCCGGAGCCGAACGCCAGGTCGCCATCGCCGGTCACGAAGTCGACCCCGTCGGGCCCGACCACCTCCTCCACCGCGCGGGTGTCGGGGCGGCTCCAGTCGACGGCCCCGTCAGAGGCCCGTGCCAGCGCGACCGCGGGGCCCCACGCGGGCAAGGAACTTGTAGCACTGCACGGCGTCGACGAGCGCGCCCTCGGTGTCGAGTGGCCAAACCCGGACCTCGGCGTCGGGGTCCCAGCCGTACTTGTCGATGATGACATCGACGACATCGTCGAAGAAGGTGGGATCCGGGGCGGGCACCGACTGACGGCCCGCGAAGGCATAGGCGTGGGAGGAGGCGTTGGAGATGGCCGCGAGCGGGGACAGCGAGGAGCAGCGCGAGGAGAAGTAGGAGGATCGGGCAGGCGTAGGAGGTCCGAACCCCCAGAGGCCCGGACCAGCGCCACCGCCATCTTCGTCCTCATGGTGTGTTGGGGATGACGGCCTGGAGTCGGGATTGGGGAGGGTTAATTACCAGAAACTTGAGGGAGTGTTTTGCAAAAATGCCGTGACGATGAACCCAGAGACTCAATCCGTGCTTTATTATTAGGGAGAGATTATGAACTAACTATATTCACACTAACATTTAGGTCTCATGTTTACTCATATCAATGGCATAATCAGCTAGCGAGCAATAATAACAAATCTCGGATGACAGCACTTTCTCAAAACAATCATGATATGATATAACAAGATGGTATCTCGCTAGACCTTTCTAAGATCGCGAAACATAAATGCAGAGCACCTTTAAGGATCAAGGACTGACTAGACATTGTAATTCATGGTAAAAGAGATCCAGTCATAGTCATACTCAATGTAAACTAACAGTAATGGATGCAAATGACAACGGTGCTCTTCAACTGGTGCTTTTTAATAAGAGGATGATGACTCAACATAAAAGTAAATGGATAGGCCCTTCGCAGAGGGAAAAGCAGGGATTTGTAGAGGTGCCAGAGCTCAGTTTTGAAATAGATATGAATAATATTTTGAGCGGTATACTTTCATTGTCAACATAACAACCGAGAGATCTCGATATCTTCCATGTTACACACATTATAGGCGGTTCCCAAGCAGAATGGTACGGTTTATACTCCCCCACCACCAACAAGCATCAATCCATGGCTTGCCCGAAACAATGGGTGCCTCCAACTAACAACAATCCTGGGGGAGTTTTGTTTGCTATTATTTTGATTTGATTTGAGCATGGGACTAGGCATCCCGGTGACCAGCCATTTTCTCGTGAATGAGAAGCGGAGTCCACTCCTCTTGAGAATAACCCGTCTAGCATGGAGGATATAGACAACCCTACTTGATACATGAGCTATTCGAGCATACAAAACAGAATGTTTATTTGAAGGTTTAGAGTTTGGCACATACAAATTTACTTGGAACGGCAGGTAGATACCGTATATAGGAAGGTATGGTGGACTCATATGCAATAACTTTGGGGCTTATGGAATTGGATGCACAAGCAGTATTCCCACTTAGTACAAGTGAAGGATAGAAAGAGACTGGGAAGCGACCAGCTAGAGAGCGACAACAGTCATGAACATGCATTAAAATTAATCAACACTGAATGCAAGCATGAGTAGGATATAATGCACCATGTACATAAATATCATAGAGGCTATGTTGATTTTGTTTCAGCTACATGCGTGAACATGTGCCAACTCAAACCACTCGAATCGTTCAAAGAAGGATACCACCCTATCATACCACATCATAACCATTTTAATAGCATGTTGGCACGCAAGGTAAACCATTATAAACTCCTAGCTAATTAAGCACGGCATAAGCAACTACAATCTCTAATTGTCATTGCAAACATGTTTATTTCATAATAGGCTGAATCAGGAACGATGAACTAATCATATTTACAAAAACAAGAGAGGTCGAGTTCTTACCATCTTTTCTCATCTCAATCAGTTCATCATATATCGTCATTATTGCCTTTCACTTGCACGACCAAATAGTATGGATAATAATAATAGTGTACGTGCATTGGACTAAGTTGGAACCTTTAAGCATTCAATTCAAGAGAGAAGACAAGGTAATATGGGTTGTCTGTTATGGTCTTCTCCTCTCGACCCCCAAGAAAAGAAATAAAACAAAACTATTTACACGGGAAAGCTCCCAACAAGCAAAAGAAGAACGAGAAATCTCTTTGGGTTTTCTTTTAATTACTACTACTACAGG